CAGAGCTTACTCTGATAGGATTGAGATGAGTGTCAGAGCTTACTCTTATTGAACTGTGATGAGTGTCAGAACATACTCTGATTGAACTGTGATGAGTGTCAGAGCATACTCTGATTGAACTGTGATGAGTGTCAGAGCATACTCTGATTGAACTGTGATAAGTGTCTGAATAAACTCTGATTATACTGTGATGAGTGGCAGAGCATACACGGATAGAATTCGGATGAGTTTCAGAGTATACTCAGATAGGATTGAGATGAGTGTGAGAGCATACTCTGATTGAACTGTGATGAGTTCTATCAGAGTATGCTCTGACACTAATCACAGTTAAATCAGAGTATGCTCTGACACTCATCACAGTTCAAGCAGAGTATGTTCTGACACTAATCACAGTTCAATCAGAGTATGCTCTGACACTCGGCCCTATTTTGGTAAAATGATGTTAGTCGATTTTTGGGCGATTTTGAGTTAGTGTCAAATCCCGGTAAAGTGAGGGCGCTGTTTCCGATTCAGAAAATATTAGAGTCAAGAAATGAAGCGTTTAAAAGATATTATATGTATCTCACCGTGGAAAACTTAACTAGTGCAGCTTTTTTTTTGAAAAATAATGCAAGTACGTGACATATATCTGTGTTTGCAAATCTCACAAACAAGGTAAAATGGTGTATCTTTTACTTACAGCATTTTTGGTAATTAAAGTCTCGTTAATTGTTTGTGCATGTCAGACATACACCATTTTACCAAAATAGCACTGCTGGTTTGAATTCATGCATATCCCATTTGTTTCCCCTGATATGTAAGTAAACTGGGGAAAGTCCTTTGCATTATTTTCATCATAAACGAAATTACCCTTTCACATGCTTAAATGCAGACTGTTTCGTTTTTAAGTCTCTTCAAATGATATGTACACACATACATTATTACTGCGTAACAAATCCAAGCTTTCCATTGGAAGTCTTTTTTAGTAAAATGATGTATCTTCCAAAAACATTCTATTTCTCTAGAAATATCCACAAAATTTAGTGAATTATGTAAGAAAACAAAATATTAGTTGCCTAGACATCAGAAAATGACTGTTTCACAGTCTTGAAGACCTAAAGACCAAAACAGCAACATTTCAATCTTTAAATCACTATTTCTCAAAATGTCCTTCAAGTGAGATACATCATTTTACCAAAATAGGGCCGCACTCATCCCAATTCTATTAGAGTAAACTCTGACACTCATCACAGTTCAATCAGAGTATGTTCTGACACTCATCACCGTTCAATCAGAATATGCTCTGACACTCATCACAGTTCGTTCAGAGTATGTTCTGACACTCATCACAGTTCTATCAGAGTAAGCACTTACACTCATCAGAGTTCGTTCAGAGTATGTTCTGACACTAATCACAGTTCAATCAGATTATGATCTGACACTCATCACAGTTCGTTCAGAGTATGTTCTGACACTCATCACAGTTCTATCAGAGTAAGCGCTTACACTCATCAGAGTTCGTTCAGAGTATGTTCTGACACTAATCACAGTTCAATCAGATTATGATCTGACACTCATCACAGTTCAATCAGAGTATGCTCTGACACTCATCACAGTTCAATCAGAGTATGCTCTGACACTCGTCACAGTTCTGAGGTATAGAGCTGCTCAAAGAAGGACCAATGCTGGTGAAGTAATTGTTAAACGCAGTGGCGATCTCGTCAGGGTTGGTAGTCGGCCTTCCATTGTGGTTAATCTTCTTTATCTTTGTTCAATTTGTAGACGCATTCGTGTTGATAATAGTTTTGATAACACTCCAGGTTTTCTTAACATTGTTCTTGTCATTGTTGAATTCGTCAGTGTAGTAATTAATTTTACAATTCTTGATCAATGTATTAAGTTGATTGCGATACAGGAAGAATTTTCTTTTGTTAGACTCTGAGGGGTGATTAAGCATTTTTTTTTTTACAGTCTATGCTTATGTTGAACAGATTTAATCAACCCAGCGGTCATCCAGCTTTTTTTTTTACGAACAACATTAGCTTTAACTTTCTTGGCTGGGAAACACTTGTCGTAAAGTTGAGAAAATGTGGAATGGAACAAATTGAAAGCACCATTAGGATCCGAATAGGATAGTACAGAGTTCCAGTTAACTTTGCTCAATTCATTAGAAAAAGAGGCAATATTACAAGTATTGATCTCCCTTCTCACATACTGTTTATATCTCATTGGAGTTTGGTGAGTATTGAAGGTAGATATTTGAAACACTGGCAAATGATCAGTAATGTCAGCAAACAAGATTCCACTGGAAATATTGCAATCAACATTGTTAGAGAAGATGTTATCAATAAGAGTAGCAGTGGTTTCTGTGATCCGGATAGGTTTGTTTATTAATGGAATTTGGTAGTTGCTGAACAAGCTGTTCACAAAGTCATGAGTGGCCTGATGCGATTCATATTGCAGAAGATCTATGTTAAAATCGCCCATTAAAAAGGTGAGTTTGTCTTCCTGATTAATTGAATGTAGAAGGCCATCAAAACATTCAATGAAATCAGCTTGGTTGACTGAAGGTGGCCTGTATAACACCCCTGCAATGATATTTTTGCGACCTGGAGAAGATATTTCGATAAAAAGTGACTCACAGATGTCACTGTTTATAGATAAGTCATCCCTCGTTTTAACCTACAAACCAACTCCTCCACCTCTTTTGTCAGCTCTATTTTTACCAAGAAAACTGTAACCTGTTAGTTCGTATGGTGGACTATCTTTGTGGAGCCAGGTTTCGGTAAAACCAAGAACTGAAAAGTCAATGTTCAGAAGACTAAGATAGTCACCAATGGCATCGAAGTTTTTGTAAAAGCTTCTAGCATTCAAATGAAAGGTAGAGAACTTGCTTTGTTTAACATCTTTGTAATACAATGCATTAAACTGATCACAGAATAAGTAGTCAGATGGGTGATTGTGCATGTCAGAGAAAAAGTTTGCATCAGGATCAATATCAGAGTTGCCACCAAATTGGTTGTTGAAAATGAGCGGATTGAAGTGCATATCTGAGAGTCTCTGAGTTTCAATTCTGTGATCATTTTTCAATTCCAGGAGAGCTAATAAGAAATCTTGATCGTCACCCAAATGATTAAACGGCAGTGCATGTTGGAAACACGAATTGTGTTGGTTACATAATCTACAACTAGCCATACACAGGAGGGGAGTCGATTGAGAGTGCTAAACAGCCCTCATCAAAAGAATGCCTTTCTACAGCTGTGAGACGTTTAAAGTCAGTGGTACACGTATCCATGACGATTGTAAACACACAAACACTACAGTGAGATATTATGTACAATGAAAACACAGATAAACAAGTTAACTTTTTGACATAAAAAAAGGCAATGCAAATCAAGAGAATCACAATAAGTTAATTGTAATTACTTTACATCTGGTGTCCGAGCTGTCCATGAAGGAGGACGATTGTGTCTATAACTTAGTAGACGCGGTTTGCTTCTGTCCATCAATGAAGAGATCGCCGTTTCGGAATACGACTTTGTGTCCAGAGTCATATGCGTTCTTCATGAGCTCTCTCATGGATCTCTTCTTCACAAGATCGGCGGCAGGCAAGTCCTGAAGTACAAACATACCAGTGGTGCTTGGAGAAGACTTGGCATGTTCAAGATCGCCAGACGTTCAGGTCGGTACAGGAACTTGACCAGGATATGGAGAGGTTTCTGCGACATTTCAGAAAGTAGTTTGGGTGCGCGACCAGACCGATGTGCGTTCTCTACCTTAATGTCCGCCATGTTGAATTTGGTAGATAGGATCTCCTTCACCTTCTGAAGGGGGTATGACGGGTTCTCGTTCACAGTTTCTGGTATACCGCCAAATCGTAAGTTGAACCCTCAGGAGTAGCGTTCGAGGTGCCTCTTCAAGCTGGACGATCTTTGTTTGGGCTTCTTTCATTTGAGACGCCATCTTGGATAGATCGTCGGACATCGAAACATTTTTCTTTTGAATATCTTCGATGGATCGTGATGTAAAGTCAAGGGATTTCTCCATCTCTTCATGATTGGCCTACATTTTCTCCATTCTGGTAAGGATGTTGATTCCTGATAACTTTGTCAAGCTTACCATGAAGATCAGCTGCCAGGACCATGATGTCCTGCCGCAGACCAGCGATCTCACTGGCCGAAGGGCTTGGGGAACTGGCGGTAGGCGACTGGTCACCTGACTGACTTGGCGCGGGAACACTGGAGCTTGATAGTTCAGCTGAAACAGATCCTTTTTTTTCTCCTTTCTTGGAGGCATGATGATATTAAAAACTCAGCAAGAGAGAGTATATTAGCAGGGTGTTTGTGGAAGCGTACATAAAACGGATAAACAATATGAAGAGATGGAGAAAAATCGAGATTTTGCTCTGATTCTCACGGAGCAGGCACTACATACGTCCGTTCATGATGAGCGCCCTCTATAAACACTGATAGAATTGGGATGAGTGTCAGAGCATACTCTGATAGGATTGAGATGAGTGTCAGAACATACTCTGAAAGAACTGTGATGAGTGTAAGAGCATACTCTGATAGAACTGTGATGAGTGTCAGATACTCTGATGGCTTAACTGTGATCTGTCTGAGCATATTCTGATTGAACTGTGTTAAGTATACTCTGATAGAACTGTGTTTTGTCATATTATACTCTGATTGAACTTTGTTTTTTCATAGTTTACTCTGATTGAACATTGAATAGTGTTAAAGCATACTCTGACAGAACTGTGATGAGTCTTAGAGTATACTCTTATAGAACTAGGTGGAGCATCAGAGTATTCTCTGATGGAACTGTGATTAGTGTCAGAGTAAACTCAGATGAAGAGGAGGGCGCCATCATGTAGTTAAGACGTATTTTCTCGAGCTCTGTGACCAAGCTGCAAAAATTCAGTCTTCCAGCTCCTAATCTCATAGCCAGCCCTCAAATCACGAGCGATCGGCATTCGTCATTTCCCACTGCTTAGTCTGAACTCCACCATCTAGTCCAAAATGCCAAGAAAAAGTGGAAAATCACCTACTGAGCAGCAAGGAGTATCTGCAGGAAAGAGTGTGTCTGTTCCCCAGACACCTACTATGCCTACTCTGCGTCCTGCTGAGGGACCAGACTCCCCGGCCGATCTACCTCAGATGATCACCTCTACCCCTCGTTCCGATGACACCGACTTTCAGGTATTTGTCAGAAAGTCTCTGACTGATCTTCATCGTGGCCAAGCTGACATTAACCGTCGTATCACTCAGCTTGAATCCAACCTCAGCGAGTCAATCCAGTTCGAAAGTCGACGCATAAGTGATCTGGAAGAGAAGGTTAAAGAGCTGGAAGGAATGCGTCAACACATCCAAACAATTGATCAACAGCTGGCAGACCACAATGACAGCCTAAACAAGCTTGAACGGTTCAGCAGGCGAAACAACGTGAGGGTCATAGGTCTCCCACAAGATAAAGACGAAGAATGCCTGGAGTTGACCAAGCGACTTCTCCGAGACAAATTTGGCCTGAGTGATATCAAGATCGAGAGAGCTCATCGTGATGGTCCAAAGATTCCAGGAAAGCCTCAACATCTTCTCTTTAAGCTTAACTGCTACCAAGATAAACTGGAAATCCTACGTCGCCAGCGACAAGCTCTCTCTGACGAATCCTACTTTTGCGTGGAAGATCTGACCAAACAAGATCTTAAAGAAAAACGGCGATGGAAGGATGACGTCAGAAAGGCCTACCAAGCAGGTAAAAAATACCGGTTCTATGCCGGAAAGTGGCGTGGCAGTGGAGGAGTGCCGTACGTCTTCCCACAACAGTAACCTGCATGCTACTCTGCTCCCCTTCTACCTTGCTTGGGACAACCCATCACCAGCCATCCCTGCATCCACCCAATCATCCATCCTTTCATCCAGGGAGTCTGTCTCCATGATCACAATTAACTGCCATGTCGTAAAGCAATTTTTACTACGTTTTGGCTTTTTTTTTGCCTTTGCGTTTTGTTGCTCTGTTTGTAGCTGATTTGTTTCATTTTGCTCATATCACTTGAATACGATCACTTGGCTCTGCCGAATCATTCTTTTTCGTTGCTTATTACTGCATTTTCACATCGATTTACTGTTTGGACAGATTTCCCATGCTTATTTTTGATTGGTGCAGTTGTGTTTTGTTTGCTTGCACTGTTTGCTTTTCATATATAATTAATGTTACATTTATATAAATTATTTACAACCTATTTGTGTTCTGCTGCTTTTTCATGTCTCTTACTCCTTGCTACATACACTGACGCATTTGTTCTTGTTACTCTAAATTTGCTCGAGATGTACGTCCTCCATTTCTTTTTTGGGCACACTTTCCATCGTTGCCCTGTATTATCATTATTTATTTTCGAATCATCAGTAATTTACTGTTTTCTGTTTTTGTTTGTCGTTTGTTGCATGTTTATCGATAATTCAGATATAGATGTTCATGATATTAATTCTCAGATCAACAGTACCTGTGCTTATTTCCACTCTGATGAGTTTTGTAATCTCAATGTTTTAAATCCGGGTTATTTTTCTGCGTTTTACATGAATGCCAGGAGTCTCAGTAAACATTTCTATGACATTCAAATTTTTCTCTCCACCCTGAATCATGCGTTTTCCGTGCTTGGCTTCACTGAAACATGGTTTAAAGACTCTCCTCCGCCGTATATTCACATGGATAACTACAATATTGTTCATTCTTCAAGATCTAACAAAGTCGGCGGAGGAGCGGCCATGTTTGTCAGCAACACGCTGAATTTTCGTATTCGCGAAGACCTCATGTCATCTTCTGATGAGTATGAGTGTGTTTTTGTTGAAATTGAGCGTGAGCACGCCAGTAATTTGATTGTCGGTAATGTTTACAAATCCCCTGGCACCTCGTTTGATGTTTTTCACAGGTCTTTTGATTGCTGTCTCAATACTGTCACCAGAGAGAAGAAGCTGTGTTACATAATGGGTGATTTCAACCTGAATCTCCTCAACTGTGATCATCAGCCAACGGACGATTTCATTAACACCTTCTATTCCTATGGTTTCCGTCCATTGATAGACAAGCCGACACGCGTCACCCCTCACACTGCCACACTCATCGATAACATTCTGACTAACAATACTTGTGATATTTCTTCAGGCATATTTTATTCTGACCTCACTGATCACTTTCCTCTCTTTCAGATCACCCCCGTCTGCTTCCAAGATTCGTCATCTTTCCGCAAGACGTATATCGCCAGGGATATTAATAAAAACAATATCAGTGCGTTTACCTCAGATCTTGAAAGAACTGACTGGAGTGATGTGTATGGTGCGAATGAAGTAGATCACGCTTATAATACATTTTTTTCCACCTTTTCTAATCTGTATAATTTTCATTTTCCTTATCGTGTCAAAATAGAAGGTAAATCCCACAGGAATCAACCATGGATTACTCGGTCAATTATCAACTCCATCAATCACAAAAACCGACTCTACAAACGTTTTCTTCGGAACCCAACTGATGCCAACTCCCGCATGTACAAGGTCTACCGTAACCGCTTGACGGCCGTCATCCGAAAAGCCAAGGAGAGTCACTACGCACATAGACTTGATGTAAATAAATCTAATATTAAAAAAGTGTGGCGAGAGATCAATCACATTCTAGGCAGTAAAAAACAGGTGGATCTTCCCGATAATCTGTCTGACGGCAATTGCAATTACACCAGTCCCCCTGACATATCGGAGTCATTCAATACTTATTTTTCTCACATTGGTGCATCTTTGGCAAGCAAAATCCCCCCCGCTGACTCTTCTTTCTTCAGTTATCTGCATGGCTCCCACGCCTCCTCATTTTTCCTGACACCAACAAACTTTTTAGAAGTTGTTGATATTGGCAATAAGCTCAGCAACAGCAATAGCTGTGGGTTTGATGGCATCAGTCCTTCCGTTATAAAATCTGTTATTTCATTTATCTCTCGTCCTTTGTCTTATATTTTCAATCTTTCCTTTTCTTCTGGCCAGTTCCCATCTAATCTTAAGATTGCCAAAGTTATACCCATCTTCAAATCTGGAGATCGTCATGATATTCACAACTACCGACCGATTTCTATCCTTCCTTGCTTTTCAAAAATACTTGAGAGACTTGTCTATAATCGCCTATCCAGATTCATTTCTCGTTTCCACCTCCTTTCCGATCATCAGTATGGTTTTCGCAGCAAGCATTCCACCGACATGGCTCTCATTCAGGTCATCGATAAACTCACTTCTGCCTTAAATGATAAAATGAGCGCCATTGGAATCTTCATCGATCTCTCTAAAGCGTTTGATACGATTGATCATTCTATCCTTCTGTCTAAACTTGAGTTTTATGGAATTAGAGGTGTTGCCCATGAGTGGTTTTCCAGTTATCTCTCCAACAGACAGCAGTTTACCTTTGTTCATAATTATTCTTCGTCTAAGCAAGGTATTCTTCATGGTGTTCCTCAAGGCTCTATTCTTGGTCCCCTTCTATTTCTTCTGTACATTAATGATCTGCCTAGTTCTTCCTCGTCTCTCTCTTTTACGCTTTTTGCTGATGACACCACCCTTCTGCACACCGGTCCCAATCTCCAGTCTCTTGTCAATTCTCTAAATGCGGAACTTAATCAAGTTTCTTCTTGGTTCAGGGCAAATAAGCTTTCCCTAAATCATGGTAAAACGAAGTACATGATTTTTTCTAAATCTGGCTCTTTCTCTAATCCGTACCCTATAATAATCGATCATGTTCTCATCTCTAGAGTTTTCTCCACCAAGTTTTTAGGTGTCACAATTGACGAGAAACTCTCATGGAGTGAGCATATCTCAGCTATTGCCAAAGTCACAGCTAGGAACACCGGCGTAATGGCTAAGCTCCGCTCTTTTCTCCCTGAGGCGTCAATGATTCTTCTTTATAACTCTCTTATTCTTCCTTATCTTAGCTATTGTAACATCGTCTGGGCACATGCAACTAAATCTAAGCTTCATCCGCTCACCATAATACAAAAGCGAGCTATCAGGATTTGCACAAATTCTCACCCACGTGAACACACTGCACCTCTTTTCACATCACTAAACACGCTCAAACTAACTGACATTAATCAACTCCACACGGGTATTTTTATGTTTAAATTTGTTAATAATCTTCTTCCTCATTCCTTCTCTTCTTTCTTTACCTCAGTCCGAGATACTCACAGATATTCTACTAGGTCTCGCAATAAGCACAATTTATTCCTACCGTTCACTCGCACAACTCATTCCCTCAGCACTTTGAAATACTACGGCCCGCGTCTTTGGAATGCTTTGGACGAATCCATTCGAGACCAGTCGTCCGTTGGCCAATTCAAACGATATTATAAGAGGATCTTAATCTCAAATTATGTAACGCAGCTTCTTTGATCTCATTGGCTATTCGCTAAGGTTTTGTATTCTCCCCTCTCCTCACCATGTTTATTGTTTCAACAATTTGTATATTTGTGTGTTTGTGTGTTCTTGTCTTTGTTTGTTCGCTGCAGTCTCGTTATTGTTTTAGTCCATGTTTTTGTCATTGTGTACGTTTCTCGTGAATCTCTGTGTTTTTTCGGATTATAAATTATTTGCACAAGGCATTTCTGTACAAGCTTCGCTTCAAGAAAATGCCTCCGTGGTTTCTTTTGTATTTGTTTTTTTTTTCAGATTTTATATTGATTTAATTTATTGAATTTTCATTTAATTACTTCAGTTCATTTATTTCCTTTGAATTGTTTACTTCATTTATATTTAGTTATTTGGTTTACTACTATGTGTCAGAAAGCACGGAAATAAATCTAAAATCTAAATCTAAAAAAAAAAAAATCTAAATCTAAAATCTAAATCTAAACTGTGATGAGTATCAGAGTATATTCTTATAGAACTGTGATGAGTATCAGAGTATACTCTTATTTAGAACTGTGATGAGTATCAGAGTATACTCTTATAGAACTGTGATGAGTATCAGAGTATACTCTTATAGAACTGTGATGAGTATCAGAGTATACTCTTATATAGAACTGTGATGAGTATCAGAGTACCGGTATACTCTTATAGAACTGTAATGAGTGTCATATTCTGATAGCAATGTGATGAGTATCAGAGTACAAATGAGACATAGGATCTATTAGTGAGACGTTTGCGGTAACGCCATGTGGAAATTTCTCTTTTGTGAGTATGTGTGTTTCTGAAAAAAACCTGTTGGATTAACTCGATGTCTCAAACAGTATGCTCTGTTCGTCATCAGGAGAATGCCGTACTCCACGCAACATCCAGCTCACAATGGATCAGGAACGTGATGGCCACATCTCGTTCCTGGACATTGAGGTGTCTAGACAACCCGATGGAACCCTCAGTCGCAGTCCTCAGTGGACAATTCTGACTGGATGCTAAGAAGGATCCTGGATGCTGTGTGTTCGGTGAACTGTGTAGACGGGAAGGTCTGACTGGATGATTTCACTTGCGTCCCCACAGGTGAAGACTGCCGCATAGCCAAAGAAAGGTTAGCCCATGACCCCTCACTGTGTGAATGCACAGCCCTTACCCCGAACCAGATTAATGAACTCTTGCTCACCTGCGTCTCGTCGTCCTGCTTTAAGTGGTGAGACAAATTCTTTGAACACTCCTCCAGAACCTCTATAAGACAGCACTCCTCACATCCGACCAGAAACGGAGTGTGTGGCTCCGATATGTGGATGATACATGTACCTTCATTGTGTGGCCGCAGGGCATTGAGAACCTCCATCTGTTTCTACAAAACCTCAACGGGCTACACAGCAACATCCAGTTCACAATGGATCAGG